TTTTTATATGGTTTTAATTTAGTTTAATTTAATTAAATAGAAATAATAATAATAATAATAATAATAATAATAATAATAATAATAAGGGGTAAAATTATTTTAGGGATTTAATTGAAAGCAATTTTGAGAAAAAAAGGTGAAAATTTGGGTTTTGGGGTATTTTTAAAAGAAAGTTTAAAAATGGGGGGTCAAAACACAATTTAGAAAAATTGCGCCACGTCAGCTGCCCGGTCAACAGCCTCGGCCAACCAGGACGCGCTGCGTGGCAGAGACGCTGATGCGGGAGGCCACGCAGAAGGGAGCCACGTGGGTGATCTGCGTGCGCGCGATCGAACAGCTGAGATCCGTTCCCGCGCGCACAGACGACCTAGATAAAAAACGTGCACGGACGACCCAGATTGTACTGCACAGACGGTCAAGATTGAATCGCGATCAACGGCTCAGATTAAAAGTGAAAGGTTATAAATAATCTCATTTACACCCAAACCCTAACCCTAGCCACCAGAGCCCTTGCTGGAGAAGACAGCCCAGCTGCCGGGGAGCCGACCGCTGCCACCCGCCACCGCAGTGGATCACTTTTCAGCCGCCAAACGAGGTAAAAATTCTCCCCTTGGCTCAGAATTCGATTCTAAACCCACTTGTGGCCAAATCGGAGCTAAAACACCGGCCAATTGGCCGAAAAACGGTGCTGCCGCAGGTTTTCTCGATTTTTGCCTCCGATAAGGCCCTTCCCAATTTTCATTCAATGTAATTTTTATACCATTGTGACCACCGTTCCTTCATCTACAGGTTAACCGGAGCAAAACACCAAATCGCGATTCGAGCCGGAGGAGCCACCGTACCAGAGAGCCCCACCACTGGTAAGTTTCAGTTTTCAGTATTTTTTCGGCCCACCGAGAGCCCTAGGGGTGTTTTATCACAGGAACCAATGCAAGTTTAATTGAATTCGGCCGAAAATGGTCGGAAACAGCCAACCCGAGGCGGATTGCCGTTGCAAGCAGCGGCGCCGTCGCCGGAACACGGCGGAGCCGCCGTGCCAGAATTTCGAAATTTACCGAATAGGCCTTGAGTATGATTTTTGAGTTATTTGGGATATGTGTAGATACCGTAAGCGCATTTTGTTTCCCGAGAGAAAATTCAGGGAACCCAAGAACTGCCTGTAAGTGCAGTGAAAAAAATCTGATTTTCGACTTCGAATCAGGTAAGGACCCATCACCCTATTTCCTATCACGGGGTTAAAGTCTAATAAATGATAAAACTGTATTTGTATGAATTAAGTAGATATACATAATTATTACGGTCACTAATGGAGCACGAACCTTACATATTTATCTGTTAGTTCCTGTTTGATTTATTTTACAGTCTAAATGCAGTATGATATCTGATTTATTTATTTTATGATTTTGAATGCATGAATCACTGTTTACTTCATTATGGCTTGATTTTGTGAATTCGATGATATATTTGTCTTGCTGGATGCTTGTTACTTGTTTAAGTATTCATATTTATGTGAAAAACGGAAAACTAAGGAAAAAATAGAAAAGGTATGTGAATTGATAAATATATAAGTTGACAGCCTTACTAGATATCCTGGGAGATGGGGGACGGACCGGGTCCATAGGGAACCCTACCAGGAACGTTGTCTCATACTGGGCGGGGTATAGAGACTTTCAATATTTTGGCGCTCATGCCGGACGGGGTATGGGGACGGCCCGCTTCACCCTCGTACCGGACGGGGTATGTGGACGGCCTGCTTCACCCTCATACCGAACGGGGTATTGAGGTTTTATTATTTGGGGCCCATACCGGACGGGGTATGGGGACGACTATGAGAATTAAGTTTGTTAAAGAAATGGTTCACGTGTAGTGGGGACCCCTATGGATCCCCACGGATACTGGTAGGTTGATAAAAAGGGGATAACTATTGCTTGATGATTGAAATATAAAAGTATGACCTGTACTATGATATAGATTATGTATGAATTCATGATATTTATGATGTTACTGTTTCCATGAGTCGTTTTTATAAATTCCACTGAGGTAAGTGGACGGTAAATTGTTTGATTATTGATAAATAAATTTACTTGAAACTTGTGCTCTATTGGTTGTCTTTGTTTTTCTACAAACCTTTACTTCTGTAACAGTGATATAGTGTGATGTTTTTACTGAGCTAGTGTACCTCATTCATTACTTAACCATTTCAGATCAGGAGGACTCGGTTCCCGAGCCCGATCTACAAGAAGACGGCGAGTAGATACTTAGATGTTTATTAGTTTCTTTTATAGTCTTTTATTTCCAGTATTTTTCTTTAGATGACTTATTTTCGGTATTGTTAGTACGTTTAAGTTATTGTGTAAGGGATATTAATCAGAAATTTATTTCGCTTCCGCACTTATATTCTTTATATACATTTCCTTTTTAAATTTCTGGGGCCGTTACATGACGTGGTACATTTTTTTTAAATTGCGTTTTAATCCCCGGTTTTCGATTTTTCTTTCAAAAATACTCACAGAACCCAAATTTTCACATTTTTTCCCCAAAATTCTTTTAATTTAAATCCCTAAATAATTTACCCCTTATTATTATTATTATTTCTATTAAAATAAATTAAATTAAATTAAATTTTATTAATACTTATTTATATTTATATAGAATAAAATAAAATAAAATAATAATAATAAAAATAAAAAAAGAATTTCTTGGATGTTACATATTTCATCCATGTGACCTTAAGTACATCTTCAGTCATATCCACTCTATATTCATCTCTACGTGATTCATGTGCATCTTAAATTAGGTCTTGGTCTTCGCCCATTGATATTTGTATTTAGATTTCATATTACAATGTCCACAAAGGCTTTGTGAATTCTTATTGTATATACATATATGTATTTGAGTATATATGCTCTAGAGTAATGGGTTGTCAAAGCAAGGTTACACACACCTTTAGTAATTCATATTTTTGGTTGTCACAAGAAAGGATTGACATCGAGACCAAATGAAAGTTAAAGGTTTATTTTGTGAACAAATATTTTCTTTTTTTTTTTTTTCATTTACAGAAATAAGTACAAACATAAATATATTAAAGTAATTAAGCATAAAATATTTAAAAATGATAGTAAAAAAATTAAATGAGTTTGAAACAAATAAAAACTAGTTTCACTATTTTTAAAGAAATATTTATATTTGAGGAATATCATATATATACACCCAGCTATATATGTTTATATAAAAATATAGATAAATTTAAACAATAAAAATTTTAAAATATTTTCATATAGGGACTTAATTATCGGATTCTTATATTTGAATGCTCAGTCAAACCAGAGTTCTATATTAACCAAATGACAAATCTTTAAGTTGAATACATTCTGTTCAGATTTTATAAATAGGAAATTACCATCTCAATATATACTGGAATTCACTGACAAATATAATACAAGATACAGCAATTTCTATATTAACGAGAGTCAGAATAGTATCCATACACGCGTATCCCAACTTATAATTCTTATCATGCTAATGACAATGGATGAGGATTATCAACTTCACTACTCTAAGTAAAGACAACATCCCCGGACTGAAACAGT